CCCTTAAGTTAAACTGACTGACCTTATCGGGCATCTGAGAGAAAACCTCCCACTTCTAACAGCCACAAGCTAAGAATAAGCAGAAAAACAAAGGTATTACACAGGCACAAAGCGCCAGCTTAAGAAATACTTTATAAAGTAGCTCCAAACTAAGCTTTGCGTGCACCTTGACAAAGAAGTGAGGGAAGTCTCCCCACCCTTCCTCCTCCTTGCTCTTTAGCCTTCCCAGTGGTGTTCCAATCTGTAATTACAGACTCTATTTGATTCTAATCACCAGGCTGAAAAGACAGATACCACATCCCCACCTATAAAATCCTCCTACAAAGACCTGGGACTGTGCAAAGCTATATTTCTCCCAATTATCTAGTTGGGATCGACTGGCTCGGTGCTGAAGTTCTCACAGTGTGTTTGCCAATTTGCTGTGTCAATTAGATTTTCTCCTAGGTAAGTAATCAGACTCGGGGAGAAGGTGAACGAGGGAAAGATGAAGGGAAAAGTAATTACAGATTTTTGGGAGGTTGGAAGCTGCTCCAATGTTTTTTTTTTCTGTACCGCCCTTTTCTTTTTAAATCCCTTTTATTGTTTCCAATCAAGAAAACAGTCTACATGTGAGAACAGATAGCTTGTACAGAAATTTAAAAAAAAAATGCAACAAGTAAAGTGCATTTGAATGCTTTATTGTTCCAGTTCAAAATATGCAAAAAGACAGAAAACAAAGGAAGAAAAATAATTAATAAAACACAAGACTAGTGTTTAACGAATGCGAAAACCTACTGGGGAGTGAAAACAGATGCAACTGTTAACATTTGGACATCCATTTCTCGGTCAATGGTACATTTTGAGCAGAAATAATTAGATGAATTGAGAGAGAGGGAATTAGGTCAAGCTACTCTCAGCTGTCCTGCCTGTCCTTGTAAAATGAGTTCCAAGTCTCTAAGGTTTAAAGGCCTCCTTGCAATCACCCTAATCTTCCCTCCACAGATTTTGTATTGGATTCCAGTCAGGACTCTGGCTGCTCAGAAATGTTATTTTGGCTTCTGATCAAAAGAAACATTAGAAAATTACTTTAGACTTAAATCTGACAGGGATATGAGGGATTTTGGTCTTAACTGTATATTTCTCCATGTTAACATGTTAGATAATGCTAATTTAAAAAAACAAAACAAAACAAAAACAATAACACTTTATTTGACAGGGTGTGCATAAGACTGACATGACACTGTTACAAACATGACATAATACCTGTAATGAACACGAAGGAGTCTTTATGAATGTCTGACTGTTGTCATGAAGCGTCATTCAGTAATAATGACACGTTTAATAAAGTTGCTTTAAAAGTTGCCTTGAAAGTCCATTAAAAGTGTAAATTTTGCATTTGTTTGTAAATAATACCACTTTAATGCAAAGTCGGCACTTTTAATGAACTTTCAATGCAAATTCTAGAGCAACTTTGCATTAAAAGCGTCATTATTTACTTGTTTTTTCATGCTTGGTGATGAAATGCAGTGCTTTCCTCTAATATTAGGAAAATATAAGTTTGGGTTCCATTTTTATTGGTAAGTTGGAAAACTTGTTTTATTATTAGAACATTTTAAGGTGTAAAATGTTCTGGTAATTCAGGACAAATTTCCATTTACATCAAAACAAATATTTTGATTTTGATTTAAATGTTTTTTTTGTTTGCAAAGTCATACCATGTGAAGCTTTTTGAAATCAGTTTAACTGACGTGGACAATGTTTTTTTTAATGTTTATGCTAGATAATTAGATGCTATTTTCTTAGCGTGACACTCAGGAGGAGTGCAGACAGTTAGGAAGAGGGGGGCTTGTTCCGTCAGACCGTCAGTTCCCGAAACCACACAAAAAGAACTTGTAAGTAGATGGGTGTATCTTAGATCAGCAGGACGAACTCTGCTGTACACGTAACATCAGTTTCGCACCAAACCATTTGAACACAGAAACCAGATCCCAGCTATTGTTCCGGTCTTTCAAACAGTATTTTATGAACAAGCATGTCAAAAACAGCACTGGAATTGAATAGTGTTAAGACAGAAATTTTAAATCCATCATTCCCAAAATTCTTCAAAATTCTTACAAAGGCATTCTCAGCGCTGTGATGTGGTCTGCAACCTGACTGGAGAGCACAAAAGAGAATAATTTTATACTGAAGCAGTACATTTATTCATAAACTGGCTGCTTGGTGATCAAAGATAGATTGTTAGCTTGGATATGGACCTTTAATTAATTTTTACTTTCCATAGTTTAGCTTTGTTGTTGTTGTTTTTTTTTTTTCAAAAGTTGAGAATCTCTGGAGAAGTTAGCATGCCGGGTCAACAAAGACTTACTTAGTTGTTTTTCTGAAAACTTACAAAAGAAAACTGTCTATAAACCTCAGAGAGACCTGGGTTCCCAGTGTGAAATAAATAATTTAAAAAAAAAAAGCATCAGTGTCATTAAAACTCCTTCACTGTTTCCAGCAAAGCGTCGGCTTGCTGGCTGATAAAGCAGGCACTAATACAGAATAAAGCACCGGCTTTAAAAAGCAGAGCTGTAGCGTAAATGTTTTTGGAGGATTAACTTGGGTTAATGTCTTTGTAGGTCCTTCAAATCAAATGCCTGTTAATTATGTGAAATGGCCAAATGACAAGAACGTCATTGAACAAAATACGGAAATGCAACCACACTAAAGCACATGCACACACAACTAACTTTAGCACCTAATAACGTCTTATCAGCCTTTTGTTAATTAAAAGCCAAGCAACACATTCCATCACTTTGTCACTTCCACAAGAGTGAGATACTTCCCGGAGTAATCACTCAATGTAGTAATCACTTAATTTCTTATTTATGTGGTGTGTGTTTGTGTGAGTGTGTACCTCCATGTATAAGTGTGTAGATGTGTGCGTTTGTGTTTGTGTGTTATTGATTTACATTCAATCTATGTAATTGCTTTCACTAAACTCACATCTGGCTGGATCCATGTCAGCACAGATCAGCATGAAGAAACAGTGAACCTGCTGTACAGAGAATAACAAATTGCTTTATGCCTTTTGTTTATCATCTGCTTATCTGATGGCAGTTCTGTCTTTCCTCCGTCTTCAATTATTGTTGCGTTGAATCTTTGCAGAGCCAATGTTAGCGTTTCCTAAAACAGCAAAACCTTTGCAATATGTTTCCTACTGTGTTTCTGTGAATATTTAAATGTCATGTTTTCATTAGCCGCACGCAAGAGATTATTATCATTAGCAGAAATAAAAGCTTTAAAACACCATTCTGTGTGGAATTAATCTCTGCAATGTGCTTAACTTGTGAGTTACTGACTTAACTTTAACTTTTCATTAATCTAATTTATTGGATGGGTCTGTAGTTGACAAGGACTGCCAGAGTGATACAGAGGTGAAAAATATATAACATCTGGGAGTGTGTTTTCCACAGCTGGAGACACCTTAAGTCTTAAGTTTGAAAAAGCAAACATGCAAAAAGTTGACAATTGCCATTACATTTCATGTAAAAATATTAATTTGACACAGGGATTCAATCCTTTGAAGAATGCGAACATTTTGTTTGAATCGAATTTATTGACTTTTTTTTTAATTTACATGAAAGCAATTTTTTTCAACTAATCTACAGTTTCCAGTACAATATGTGGATAAACCAGAAGGACAGATAATGACAACTTTATCTCCATTATGGACCCAAAAGTTGGCCTTGGGTAGAGAGCACTGGAAAGGGACTGGTTTCTTTCAGTGTCTCCATTGCCCAATAAAGATACCGGTTGATGAAATTGTTAATCAAGCCAAGAATGGCAGTTGGAAATGACAGATGGAAGTAAAAGGATCTGGGATTAAAACTAACAGCATTACTTCCTGTCGCACAGAGACTTCAGACACTCGGTCCAAGACTAATATAATGGGGGCGCAGCAGCAAGACAGAGAGGGTGAAGTCTTGCCGTGAAGGTTAGGCTAATATATCAACACACACCAGGGATCTGATGGGTCTCTGAGCACTTTCCTTCAGTTTATTTTCTTTCCATTTTCTCTTCCTTCATCACTTTTCATCTGTGCTTCTGTTATCTGGTGTCTGAACTGGCCTGAAGGAGTTGGGTTATGACAGACTACAAGCTTGTCCTGTGTCAGAGTTAAGTGTTACGGTGGAAAATCAGAGACACACAAGCCTCCACACAATCTATGATCACAATCTACGTTATAACATAGTGGTAAGGAAAATCAGGAAAATGCAAACATCTACAGCAGTGGTCCCCAAACTACGGCCCGCGGGCCAGATCTGGCCCGCCTCCACATTTGGTCCGGCCCCCTGAGAATTCAGGTTTTTTTTCATATACCGTATTTTCCGGACTACAAGCCACTTATGGATTTTTCGGCAACCACCAGGGGGCTCTTTAGCAAGAAGTGAATCATTGGAAGTCAAAAAATTGGAAATAAAGGAAGAAAGTGCCCATTAAAACAGAATTAGGTTTTAATAGGGAATTGAAATGTGAGAATGTTGTTGATCAGTTAAATAACATTGAGGGGGAAAAGAAGAGTGTTTATTTTATTTTTTTTAAATAATACTGGGATCATTATGAGAATTTGAGGTATAGATATTAGGATCCAGTAGATGGCAGCAGTGCAACAATAATGGATGCAAGCTGCTGTTGAAATCTAAAGAAGAAGAATAAGCAGCAGCAGAAGAAGAAGCAGAATAAAGTTGGAATAAAGCGCCCATTTTCATTTAGCACATGCTAGCAGCAGACACGAAGGATCAGCACTTTTACTGCTACAGTTACCGTTTGGAAACTACCATAATCAGTTCAGTTAAATCTAAACTTGGCAACTTTTTCTTTTTCAACCCTAATAAATGTGATATTCAGTTGACCTGTTATGACTCAAATGTTGGGTGTCCGCCCCCCTCTGCTGCTGCTGCTGCATCGTTGTGGAAAACCTGGAGCGACAGAGATATCTGAGGCTTATATGTGTATGTTTACTGTTTTTTTTAAAAAAAAAACTTTGGGGTTGTGGCTTATAGTCCGGTGCGGCTCATAGTTCGGAAAATACGGACTATAATCCTTCCTGGATTTTTTCTATGAAGAACCCAGAGAGGGTTGTTTGATTGTGCTTTCTGGAAAACAATAAATTTTTACATTTAGGCACTCTTGCAATCGTCACACCTTTTCTGTT